GACCCAAGGGTACCTCCATATTATAGGAGATGAGCACCCAACGGTACCTCCAAATAGTGGGGAATGAGGACCCAAGGGTACCTCCATATTATAGGAGATGAGGACCTAAGGGTACCTCCAAATAGTGGGGAATGAGGACCCAAGAGTACCTCCAAATAGTAGGAGATGAGGACCTAAGGGTACCTTTAAATAGCAGGGCATGAGGACCCAAGCGTATCTTGAAATAATACGGCATAAGTACCTAAGAGTATCTTTGTTCATCAGCATGACCTGTACAACGTAGTTACCACTTACCACTTACCAGGAAATAGTAAGTGGGTACCACTTACTGTTACCTTGGTAAGTGGAAGTGGAAGTAACAGTAAGTGCGACACCCCTACTCAAGAACCACTTCTCCCGCTTGTCGATGCATGCAAACCATTGGTTTCTATTATCTTTAATATATTACATTATGTTTCGATTGCTCTTGAACATACGCCAGATAATCCATTAGATGGTCTAACAAGCGACGAATCAGCTTCGATATATCTCTATACGATGGAGTGGAGGGATGGACATAGAAGTCTCTATTCCATTCTCAATGAAACACTCAGAACAGGTGATCGCGAACATTTACGACCTTGGTTCAAGTACCTGAAACTTTTACTTACTGGTTTGGTCAAAATACAATGTGCACCTCAACAGACGGTTTGGCGTGGGATACGAAAAGATCTTATTTCCGAGTTTTCCCGGGGAACTCAGGTGATTTGGTGGGGTTTCTCATCTTGTACGACAACACTCCCTGTGTTAGAAAATGATCTTTACTTAGGTCAGGAAGGGACTAGAACTCTCTTCTCCATCGAAGCTTTCAACGCTAGAAATATACGGAATCATGCATATTTTGTCAACGAGGACGAAATATTATTGTTGCCAGGAACATACATGGAAGTGCAATCACAATTCAATCCGGCGCCTGATCTTCACATCATTCATTTGAAACAAATGCTACCAGACAATATGTTACTCGAACCTCCATTTGAAGGTATATTGGAAAGCTAAAAGATAAGAAGTCGTAGCATGGTTATTGTAAAAATTATGATCTGATAGTATTAATAGATTTGAAATTTTAGAGCTCTCGACTTCATTCAAGAGTCTTTATTAATTTTGTAACACAGCAAATAGCTATTTATCAAACTCATAGACGATTACATGCCATCTATGTGTTTTTGTTAAAGGCTTTCTATTGTATAATTATCAAATACCCAGATTCCATGCGAATTGTGCGAGTGCTTTTTCTTTTAGAAATACTATCTTAAACTGTAATCATTCTGACAAGATATTCTCTACTTTTCTTTGACATAGTATGTCCTTGTCCATCACACATATGTCATATGACATATTTTTGTCAGTCTCTTAATCATATGTTCTGTCCCGTAGCTCAATGCATCTAAGTGACTTATGAATATAAGTTATGTTTATGAGATGTGTATGGATTTCTCTTGAAAGTTCAAGAAGCATGAGATTCATGTGTCGGACTAATGTTTCGATTAACTCATAAATAACTTCAATAAAATAAATCAGATTAACCTCCGATCTGTACTATATAGCTGAAGAGAATCACTGAGTCATTTATTATATTATTATGATTCACAATTAATGTCTTGTCCGTCTGCATGAATAGATGAAATAGTAATCACCATAAAAGAAAAATACCGAAATATGAAACACGTGCAGAAAATCCAAACAGTCACCTACCCAAAAAATTATAATCTTCACATTATTTTGACAAAATGAGCTTTTTGTTTCTGATGATAGAGAAGAGTTCCAATTGTTTATTCTTATGTGAAAAAAAATTAGTAACATTGCTGAGAGGTAGTATTATCTATTCAAAACTCCGCTTTCTCAAAGGCTTTGCTAAATCCTCTCAAATGTTCTTACAAAGAAAAATTCTGACGAATTTGCGCAAGTATAGTTAACTTTTGGTAGGGTGTGTCCATGGACTATCAATCATAAAAACGCAAAACGTATCCGAAAGTTTTTTAACAGATCCCATTCTGTGGAGGCTTTTTCACTGATCATTTCATTGCAAATATATTCCGCGTTCATCGACAAATAGAGAAGCTGGGTTAAATGACTCCAAACCTATGAAGTTCTAGTGAGATTTGTTGCTCTTCAGCAATTTGAACCTATCGCCGTCATTTGTCGATAAAAATAGAGGTATTAATTTTGTTAAAATGATCAGCGAAAAGTGCTTGACAAAATATTTCAGATACCTTCGCTGTTTGGTGTTAAACCACTGATGTAAGTATATGAAAAAAAGTCAAATTCTGCATTGAAGCTTGTTGTACTAGATTTCAAATGTGTCAATAATTCATTGATATATGAATAAAAACTTTGAAACTTTTCCGAACCGTTTGGCAACATAAACTAATTCGATAAAAATACGGAAGAGACATACAATATTTTTGCTAAGTAACTTTCTGCACACCCTATAGGTTATTTGTAAAGATTCGATGAGTCTTAACGATAGCTGTTCGACGTCATATTGTAGTATTAGTCAGTCAGCTTCCTTTATTTTGTATTATATCTAATTCTAGTGCTACTAACAATGGAGGTGTTTGTGTTATCAATGAAGAAGATTAGATATATTCAGGTTAAATTGAAGGTCTAACCACCAAATTTATAAAATTTAAAATACAGACTGCTCTTGGTGTGCATGAACCGAGATATTCAAGTTTTAAGGTCTGTACAGTGCGTTTCGGATGGTCACAATCCAAAATTTCAGCGAAATTTCCTCTTCTGTTTTCTTGATGAATCGGATACAGCTCTTCGAGTTACCTTAGAAAAAATATGTTTCATATTCTAAAAACAGATTTAAAAAGATATATGAAGGTGTGAATTTCGAGTCTATTTCCTATTATGTTTGAAAATCGTGGCAACTTGAGCTTTTTGTCTAAGATTTTTTTTTAAATGCTCTTTTAACAATATGAAACATTTTTTATGATGTAACTCGACGAGCTCTATCCGATTCATCAACAAAACAAAAGAAAAAATTTCCGCTGAAATTTTGGGTAAAGGCCATCTGACATACACTGTCTATATCTTGAAACTTGAATATCTCGGTCGATGTACACTAACAGCAACCTATATCTTAAATTTGTAAGTTTGGCGATCAGAGTTTCAATTTGATTCGAATATGTCTAATTTCCTTAACTAACAACACAAATAACTCCATCGTAAAGCACGTTGAATAATCTAAATGATTTGTTTTGAATTGAAATGTTTCTATATATAGGTGCATGTCTTTATCCAAAAAAAACTAAGTAAGTCTCGATACATCTTCATCTTATTATATTTTTGACTTAACATTTTATTATATTATCAAGACGTCGTTGGTATAACAAGAAACACTTCATCATTCCGGTCAGCATATTGACAGCACTGTTAATCTTAGCAGTTGTTCTCGGTTCTACTCTTGGATCAAAGTCTACTCATAATGCATCAGGTATGTATTTTGATTTTCTTTTCAAATCAAAGACAAGCCAAAGACAAGTGACACTTAAATCTCAAAGCCCTGATCGTTTCCCTTATTAATTAAATCATTTCTATACAATCTGTTATCTTTCCACTTTTTTGTATGATCTGATGGAGTTTTCAATTATTTTTCGAGCACATCCCAATTACTTTTAATTCTATCAAAACACCACCCACGGTTTGAACTGCAAACAGCGAATGATACCGAATCCTAATTCGCAAAAATAGTATGCGTTTATTCATAGATGATATACTAGCATTTCTTGCGCCAAGAGTGCACACTAAATTTAAATGTGTCGTGTTTATGTGGCGTATATGAATTTGTCGCGTTCTGCCTGCTGGCTATTCGTTCACCATTTTTTTATGTACATATAGCGATATATAAACAACGCGGCTGAACGTACGAACGATAAATTTTCAAAATATTGTTTTTTTCTAAATTATTTCTCGATCATTTTTTTTATTGAGAAAATACTTATCTCGATCGATGATCGAGAGAGGAGTACCCTGAAGCGGCCTGTTGCAAATCGGACCGACTTGAGTTTTCAGAATAGGAATAATTAAATGGAATCAAATTGAAAAAAGAATCGAAATATACTTTTCCAAAAGAATCAATAGAAAATGTA